GGTCCGAGGGGGGGGTCCGAGAGGGGGGTCCGAGGGGGTCCCGGGTCGCTGATCCCGCTCTCTGCCCCCCCCAGCTCTCCCTGCTGATGCTGTCGATGTTCCTGCTCCGCAACCTGGACTCCCGCTACGAGAAGCTGCTGCGGGGGCTCTGAGGGGGCCGGGGTGGTGCGGGGCGGGGGCTTTTTCCTTTTTTCCTTCAATAAAAGCCGTTGGCAAGCCGCGGAACCGAGACGGGACCGGGACGGGACCGGCAGCGCGCGGAGGGGCGGGGCCACGCCCCTTTCGCTCTGGCCACACCCCTTTCCACTTAACCACGCCCTCTTTCACCTGGCCACGCCCCCTCCGGGCGCGAAGGGCTCGCGCGAGGCCCCGCGAGCTCCCGGGACCCCCGACACCCCCGGGACCCCCCGGGACCCCCGGGACCCCCGGGGGCAGCACCGGAGCACCCCCGACCACCATGGCTGCGGAAGCTCCGTGCGCCGCCGTCCCGCCGCCAGGTGCGCGGACCATGAGGGAGCGGGGCGGGCGGGTGAGGCGCGGGGCCCCTCCATAACCCATGTCCGCCCTCCCTCAGCCTCAGCCCCCGCCGACAGCGGCTGCTCGGACGAGTTCGCCCTGGGCTGCACCTTCGCTGCCTGCGACCCCGAGCGCACAGGTAGCCGAAATCCCCCGGGTTGCGGCCGGAGAGGTGCCCCGGGGTGGCCTCTGAGGCCTCCGTGCCCTCAGGGCTGGTGCAGCCGCAGCGCGTGGTGGAGTACGTGGCGGCCATGACGGGGCACGACGGGCAGGACGGGCGGCTGCGGGCGCTGCGGCGGGCGCTGGACCCCGCCTCTGAGGCCTCCGTGCCCTCAGGGCTGGTGCAGCCGCAGCGCGTGGTGGAGTACGTGGCGGCCATGACGGGGCACGACGGGCAGGACGGGCGGCTGCGGGCGCTGCGGCGGGCGCTGGACCCCGCGGCCGCGGGCGCGGCGCTGGACTGGGCCGCCTTCCGCAGCGCCATGGGCGCCTGGATCGCGGCGTGCCGGCAGGACGGGTCAGTGCCCGGCGATGATGGGGCAGCGCCCGGTGCCAGCTGGAGCGGTCAGCGGCGCTGACCCGCGGCTCTCCACGCAGGGCCGAGGAGCAGGATGTGGGCGCTGGAGCAGCGCCGGCAGGTGGGCACGGGAGAAGCGAGCTGGGGTGGCCCCGATGAGGACGCCAACGCAGCACGCTGTGCCCCATCCCGCAGAGGATGAGGGACAGGCGTCCCCGGCAGCCGCCGAGCCCCAGGGTGACAACGCGGACGCCACCAGCCCGTGAGTGCCCCCGCTGCGGGGACACCCCGCCAACCCTTGGCCGTGCTGCCAGGAGCACCCCAGCACCGGTGGGACTCCCCGGCAGCGCCGAGGCGGCGGGGCTGCGGAGCCGTGCCCGGCAGCTGGCGGCCCAGAACGCCAAACTGCAGCGGGATGCCGAGCTGGCCGAGGAGCTCAACGCCCGCCTGGCCGAGGAGATCGCGCAGCTCCAGGCGCAGCTGCGAAGGTGCTCCCGGGGGGCTCCCGGGCGCGGGGTCTGCCCCGGCGAGCTGGCAGCGCTGAGGCAGCGTTTGCCCGGTGTTTGCAGCAGCCGGCAGGCGCTGGAGCAGGCCAGGGTGGCCGTGGAGGAGCTGGACGACGTGAAGGCCGTGGTGAAGCGGCTGGAGGAGGACAACACCGAGCTGCGGCGGCAGGCACGGCACGCGGTGAGAGGCCCGGCTGAGGTGCCACGCGTGGCGCCGCGCTGTCACACGGTGTCCCCTCACGGCCCTGCCCTCCCCAGGAGAAGGAGCAGCGCAGCCTGTGCTCCCGGGCAGAGGGTCTGCAGGAGGAGGTCAGCCCGGCCCCGGGGGCTGCCCCGGCGGGGCAGTGCCGCGGGGAACGCCAGCCCTGTTTCACCCCCGGCAGAACCAGCGGCTGCTCGCCGAGGGCCAGGGCCTGCGGGAGCAGATCCAGGCGCAGGCGGCTCGCATGGCCAGCCTGGAGGTGAGCGCTGGCGCCGCGGCGGGCGGTGCTGGGGCTGCGTTGGGCTGTGACACAAGTCCTTGTCCCCGTCCCTCTGCCCAGGCCCAGCTCTGCCGCGGCACCGCCCTGCTGTCTGCCCGGGACGCAGCCCTGGCCCAGGTGAGCGCTGTCTGGTGACGCTGCGGCCACCTCGGCTGTCACCAGGGCTGCCCCAGGCCCCTCACGCCCAGGCCGTGTCCCGCAGGCGGGGCAGAGGGCGCAGGAGCTGACGGCAGCGCTGGAGGAGTACGAGCGCATGGTGCAGGTACTGCCTGCCCTGGGTGTGAGCCCAGGGGGCACGGAGCCCCTCGGGGCCACGGCAGAGTCCCTGGACCACAGCAGAGCCCCATGGGGCCACAGCAGAGCCCCACAGGGCCACGGCAGAGCCCCAAAGGGGTCACTCTCTTTGTGGGGTCAAGGACCCGGGGTGACAATCCTTCTCCCCGCAGGAACTGCGGCTGGAGACGACGCGGCTGCGGCAGCAGCTGGGCCGGATGCGGGACGCCTGGGCCATGTAGGAGGGGGGATATGTGGGTGGGGGGACGCTCTGGAGCCTTCACCTCGGTGTCCTCACCCTCCTCTCTGCCCCCCAGGCGCCCCTGGTGCCCCCGCGGCCAGCCGGACACCACGGCCACGGCCACAGCGAGCCCGGTAAGAGGGGTCACGGGGGGGACCACCCTGCAGGGCCCCCTCGGCCACTGACCCACAGGCCGTGCCCAGGGGAGCGGGGACAAGGAGGAGGAGGAGGAGGAGGACACGGGGACGGCGCTGTGCGGAGGAGGAGGAGGAGGAAGCCTGGAGGGGAGCAGCGAGGAGCTGGCCGCGCAGGCGCCGCGCTCGCCGCTGTCGCCCTGGGCTCTGGCGCTGCTGGCGCTGCTGGCCCTGCTCTACCTCCTGCCCCGCCAGTGGCCCCAGCCCCAGCTGCGCTACCGGAGCCCCCCGCCCCTGTGAGACCCCCAGTAAAGGTGTTGCAGCTGCCCCAAACACGCAGCAGAGTCGGGGTGTCAGCATCGGCTTTATGGACTGCTCAGGGGGGCCCCGCGTCTCTCCGTGCCTCTGGGGGTCCCGCTGCAGCCCCCCAGGGGGGTCCCCGTCTCGCACCAGTGGCTCAGGCCAGCCTGGACGGGGGCAGAGGGTGGGCGCTGCTGGCATTCCCAGTGATCCCAGTACGCAGGAGCGCTCCCAGTACCTGTGTGTGTGTCCCCAGGTACCGCCGGGGCCAGCTCAGGTCCCATCCTGCTCCAGGGCCGGGGGTCCCTGTGAGGGCTGGGGGGGGCTGAGGGGAATGGCCTCCCAGTGCTCCTCAGTCCTCCCAGTGTCCCCGAGACAGCCACCAGTGCTCCCAGTGTCCCCAACAGCACCCCCCGTGCCCTCCCCAGTGCCCCCCAGTGCCCCCGCCTGGGCACAGGGTCTCCTGCACAGTGCCCAGACCACCACCACCAGGCCCAGGGCCCCCCCGAGTGCCCCCAGCAGCACCAGCCCGTGTCCAGCGGGGTCGGGGGGTCCCTGCCTGGCCCCCAAAGTTCCCTCGTGCCGCACGGCTGGGCTGGTCAGCGCCGGGTCTGGGGGGAAACAGGGGGTCAGCAGCCGTCCTGGGGGGTCATGGGGGTCTCCCGGGGGTCACAGGGGTCTCCCGGGGGTCCCGGCGGGTACCTGGGTGGCAGCGCAAGCGGGCGCAGCCAGGGAAGTGGGGGGGTCTCCCTTGCAGCCCCCCCAGGTGCTGCGCCAGGCTCTGCAGCAGCTGCGACACGTTCACCCTCTCCAGCCGGACACAGCCCTGGGGGTCCTGGGGGGGACCCCAGACCCCTTCTGAACCACGCTGGGGCACCCCAGAAATGCCCCAGAGATCCAGGATTTGCCACCCCCCCACCCCTGCTCCCCAACACCCCCAGAGTAACCCTGGACACCTCAGGGAACCCCCAGAGTAACCCTGGAATCCCCAGACCCCTGTGGGGTCCCCAGAGCCCCCCCAGGGACCCCCACCCACCTGGATGTGACACTCGGCCACGAAGCGCAGCTGGGCCAGGAGGGTCCCGAGCAGGGGGGCGAGACCCTTCCCCGCCACCCCCAGCATCCGCTGCAGGGCCAGCGCCCCGAAATGGAGCCCCCAGAGATCCGAGCAGGCGCTGTCCTGGGGGGCAGGCGGGGATTTGGGGGGTCGGGGGGCGCGCAGGAACGGGGAGGGGTTTGGGGAGGGGGGGCACAGGTGGGATTTGGGGCGGGGGTCTCGCTCACCGGCTCCAGGTTGCTGGGCATCGCCACGGGGTAGTCGAGGAGCAGCCAGGGGGTCTGTGGGAGGGGGCAGGGGGTCCCCAAAAGGGCTGCGGGGGGCGCTCGGGGGGTCCCCAGCGACCCTTTGGGGGTGAAGGGGCGCAGTCAGGGGGTTTTCGGGACCCTTCCCTGGGGGGATTCCGGGGGGGATCCCGGGGGTCCCGTGAGGATCCCGGGGGGGATCCTGGGGGGGAGCCCGGCCGAGCCGAGCCGCCCCCTCCCACCCCGCGGGACCCCCTCCCCACGCCCGGCCCTCCCCGCCCGAACCCCGCGGGGGCTCCGCGCTCGGGACCCCCGCCCGGCCCCGCCGAGCTTTGGGTGCGGCTGCCCCGGGTGTGTGGGAGGGGGGCCGGGGCGTCCGGGCACGCACAGGGGCGGGGCACCCCAAAAACATCCCCCCCCATTGCAGCCCGAGACCCCCTCCCCAAAAAAAACCAGAGACACGACAGCGGCGCTGCGGCTCGGAGCGCTTTATTGAGGCGGGGGGCGCGGGCTGAAATCCCCCCGGGTTTGGGGGGGCCCGGGGGGGTCTCAGGGGCCGCCCCCCGGCAGCCAGAGGCAGCGGGGGCGGCTGCAGCGCAGCTCCAGCTCCCGCTCCGCGCCGGGCGGGGGGTCCCGGCCCGGAGCCCCCAGGAGCCCCGCCGGGACCCCCCAAACGTGGGGGACGCTGGCGACAGAGGCCCAGTCACAGTCCTGGGGCGGGAGGGGACACCAGAGGGGACATCAGAGGGGACAGCGGTGTCCCAACCCAAACCCCAAAGCCCCCACGGCTCGGGACCCCCAAAACGTCACAGCCCCGTGTCGCTCCCCCCTCCCCGTG